AAAAAAAAAAAAAGGAAATGAATGAACCTGTTCTCACCACACCAAACTCCTACCTCACCATGCCTTCTCACCTCCCTTTTATTCATCTTGATGCCTTAACCTGGGTGCAGTCAGCCACAGCAGCTGTCCACGTACGCCCTGACTCTGTATAAGCATACAGCCACTGTGGACGGCAAGACCATCCTTGTGGGTGAGTAGTGCAGACATAGGCCACACTTAGCCTCAAGGAGAAGAAACTCAGAGAGGAGCAGGTCCTTGGAAGGGAATCAGGAGGGAGGAGCCAGAGCCAGAGAAGAGGAGGTAGACCCAGCACCACAGCAAGGACCAGTGCATAGGACAGGATTCGGAAAAACAAACTTGGTGAACATAGTTCATATACCTTAATCCCTGCACCTAGGAGACTCAGATAGGAGGACTGCGAGTTTGAGGCCAGCCTCAACTACATAGCAAATTCAAGGCTGGCCTGACTATAGAATAAAGTAGCATCTCATAAAAGAAAGAAAGACAATAAGTAACTGTTGAGAACTCTACTGCCAGAGTTTGCTCTCGAGCACAGAGGCCTTGGACAAAGCAGTATCTTTTCTTTTTTTAGGGTTTCTCATTCACCCGGTATAAAGAAATAGCACCTGCAGCCAGCTCACTGTCTCCCACACTGGACTTATGTGAAGTCACAACTTGTCCAGGCCACACATTCTGCCTGTCTGTCCACTATCTGTGATCACCACACATAGAGTCCTGCATCTTGAGAATAGGAATGAAAGGACCTCCCTCCCTCTTCCTGAACTGTCTGCACTGTCCTCCCTCCTAGCCTCTGGCCTTGGGTCTTCCCTACATACCCGCATAACATATTTCTCACTGCACCCTGAGCGCTCTGTCTTGAGGACATGCTCTTTACATGTACTCCCAAACAGGCTGTGGTTTACACTACATATGCATCTTGTCCCTATATACAGAAAACTGTTCAGAAATGCTTGGGATATATGGGTCTCTGTCCTCCAGCCCATCAGGGAATTACAGCTGTGTTCATGTTGCAGACTTTTGGGATACGGCAGGCCAGGAGCAGTTCCAGAGCATGCATGCCTCCTACTACCACAAGGCCCATGCCTGCATCATGGTACGAGACCAACTAGGAGGTGGGCAAAGGTGCTGGGCAAGTTTGGCCTGGTGGGTGAAGGAGAGAAGTGGTTCAGCAGTTCTGGGTCCTCCTAACCAAGCTGGGTGCTCTGGGAAAGGGGATCCGGACCACCAGGGATGCTTCAATCTCACATGCTATGCTCCCCAGAGCTTCTCCATGAGCAGAGTGAGAAAGGGCAAAGGAAAGGTAAAGAACTACCACTCTAGGGAGTGCAGCAAGTTCAGGAGTCCACACAAAGTGCTCAAGAGGCAAACCTGGGTGAATGGAGCAAGTGCCTCTATGAGGTACTCCTGGGACCTCCCTCCACTGTTGTCTGCTGCTTCTTGAGGACCTTTCTCATTCAGACTACCCCATACCTCCTTCACTGTGCTGTCCAGGACCACATCAGGACTCCAGCCAGTGGCCAGTGGGTAGTAAGCCCATAGGAGTGCCTAACATGCAGCCATGACAAGGGCTCAGAGAAAGCGATCATGAAAACCCATATCCTGTAAGAGCTCCTCCCCGTGAATGCCTGGCACAGTTCTCAGACTCGCACTCTTAAGACACTAAAAAGGAGTGTTTGTTTGTTTTTTCTTTTGGTCCACATAAACATTTTCATAAATATTAGCCATCTATAGGTTTGGGTGTTTTGTTTTTGTACTGGGGGTTGAACCCAGGGTTCGTGCTAACCACCCTCTATCACTGAGGAGCATCTCCAGCCCAATAGACTGTTTTTCTGAATTACGAACCCTAGCAATTGTCACCAATGTTTAGAAGCATTCAAAGTCTTGCTGTCACACAAAACTCAAAACCTAGTGGCACACAACATCCATTTTCTACTGAGTCAGGAATCCACAAGGTCTGGGAGCTCAGTTTAGAACCCCATGCTGCGTGCCTTGCATCTCCACGCATCCACTGGCAGCCGGATGGGCCATCAGCAGGGCCGGCTCCATGCGTCTCCCCTTGCATGTTGGTGTGGGCAGATGTGAGCTTGCTCATAGAATGCTTCTAGATCCTAAGAATGAGAACCCTAGGAGAACCAGGTGGGAGTTGCAGTGCCCCTGTGTACTGGTCCTGAAAGTCATATGGTCTCACTCTGGCTATTGTCACAAAGGGAGGAAGCATGTCCCGCTCTCAGGGTAGATAAGTTGCCATCATTATTGATTTATTTTGTTTCGGTTTTTGGTTTTATGAGACAGGGTCTCACTATGTAGTTGAGACTGACCTGGAACTTACTATGTAGCCTAGGCTGGTCTCGAACTCACAGCGATCCTCCTCAGCCTCCCAAGTGCTGGGATTACAGGTGTGCCCCACCATGCCCAGCACCATCGTTATTGATATATAAAGTCTGCCCTCGCTCTTCTCTTCCTAACCCCTACTTGTAATTGCCTGTAGTATGCACAAGCTTGCTCTGGCCCTGAGTGGGTGCCATCCGTAAGGGACAGCAGATGAAGGGAAACTTGAAATACTTCTCATTTTTTAAGCCTTGTGTAGATGCAAGATGTTTTGTCCTTAGGATTGTTCTTTCTTGAGTGCACCTACAGTCCTCTGACCATTTCTGGCACATGGATTCTGCCTGTGGTGTGCATGGGCAAGGTGCTAAGGTGGAAAAACATGCATGCTACCCACAGGCGCCCACCAGCTGGTAGGCACAGTAGGGAGACAGTGAGGAGACTTCCCTCCCGATCCTTTGCAGGGCTTATCACCTGACTCCCCCCACCATTTCTTAAGCTCAGAAGCTCTTGAGAGTTTGCAAAGTTTCAATACTAATAACTAAGAGTACTAAACAAAGGAGGGTGATGCAGCTTGCAAGGCCCAAAGGAGCTACGTGGTGCTAGACTCTGACCCCTCGGGAGCGGGGAAGTCAGTCAGCCATTTTCATTTCATTCCTGCACTGGTATTTGGTATTTGAGCTTGCCTCTTTTCTAAGAGTGAGTAGCCTGTATATGAAGTATCCATTGGTTCCTCTCAGATCCTCTTCTAAGAATGCTGGTCTGAGTTCCTAGCCTATGTCCTGTGCTCACACTCACATGCCTTGGTGTGGAAGTCACCTGTAAGTGGCGTGCAGAGCCATTGACACACCCAAGTTATCTGCCTCTGCCCTTGCAGGTCTTCGATGTACAGAGGAAAGTCACCTATAAAAACCTGAGCACCTGGTATGCAGAGCTTCGAGAGTTCAGGCCAGAGATCCCATGCATCGTGGTAGCCAACAAAATCGATGGTGGGGCCATCCCTGCACCTGGGCCAAGTGGTTTGTGGGGACCCATTGCACACATTTCCCTCTCTCTCCTTCCCAGCATAGGCAACCTTCAGTATTTGTCCTCTTTCTGGAGATGCTCCCTCCCCAGTAGAGATTTAGCTGAGCCAACCCACTCTCTTCCCCAGACACAGATCCCTGTTAACTCTTCTGAGAACGTGAACTGCCCCACTTTCTGGCATGGGGTCTCTGCTAACCCTCCCTCCAAACCCATCTTTTCCCTGGATGGACAGACCAGTGTCCTACTTCTCTTTGCAGCAGACCTACAAGTGACCCAAAAAAGCTTCAATTTTGCCAGGAAATTCTCCCTTCCCCTGTACTTTGTCTCAGCTGCTGATGGTACCAATGTTGTGAAGGTAATGATCTATTTCAGAGGCAGCCTGTGAGGTGGTACAGTTACAGGGCGCCTGGCAAGGGATGGGAAGGACAGGAAATGGATGTGTGCCATGGGAGGGCCTGGGCCTGATGCAGGAGAAAGCTAGTGTGCATGGGGTCAGGGTAACAGGGAGAAGATAAACTGGGAATGAGTGTGCCAGTTTGCTGGGGTAGGGGAAGACGGGGCCTTTCTGCCCACTGCCATAATCTCCATCTCACCCTCAGCTCTTCAATGATGCAATTCGATTAGCTGTGTCTTACAAACAGAATTCCCAAGACTTCATGGACAAAGTTTTGGAGGAGCTCGAGGTAGGTGGGGCCCAATTTGGGATTGAATAGAAAAAAACAGACATTTATATAACCAAATCTAGTGGGCTCTGCCTTCCTTTGCCACCTCTAAGTGGACCAGGATTACTGTCTGGCAGACACAGGGCCAGACCTCACCTGTGACCTTGTTGACAGAACTTCAAGTTGGAGCCGAAAGAGGAAGAGGCACCAGACCAAAAGCAGAGTGGCAGGATCAAGAGCCCGCCCCACTCCTGATCAGCGGGAAGCCTGTTGTGGCTGACAGGGGTTGTGACGTGGGAATACCCCTCAAGCTGTGAATAGAGAACCTCTCCAACCACTCCTCGGTGTCCTGCAAACCCACTTCCACGGTACAGGAGGAGGTCAGCACCAGCAACTCTGGACAAGCATGAAATTCCACCTTTCACACCTCCCTTCCCACCCTGGCCAACAGTGAAAAGAATCCAGAAACACTGTGTCTCCTTAGTAAACAGACTTTGGGGTGGTTGTGTTTTCTTCTTCCCAAAACTGACGCCAAGGACTATTCCTTGTACTTCTGCCAAGAAAATAATCACTTAACCTTACAGCATTCCCCTACTACAGAATGTGTGAGGTTCTGTTCTTTTTCCCCTTCAGTCTCCCAACCAACTTTTTAAAAGATGTTTCAAGTGGACAAATTGTAGATTTTTATTACAAGAACAGGTTAGCCATTTAAATTTAGTAAAAGCAGATGTTGGGTATAGCTGTATGTGGTCACACACATCAGATTGTACAGCCACAGCATGGGGAATATCCATTTGGATTACAGAAAATTATTTTCAGTACAGCTACCTTTAGCGCCTCTGTCAGTGTAAGATTTCCTCCATTACTCTAGGATGAGTTGAGCACTTCCTCCTGAAAGTGGCTGAGGCATATGTAGACAAAGAGCTGTCTGCTGCCTTTCCTCCCCTGCCTAGGAGCTGTGGCTTGATATTGTGTTCTTTTTATCATCTATGGCACTATTTGCATTGCTGTCAGTAATTTATTTTGTTAGTCTTTTTATAGTAAAAATTGAATTACAATATTGCGTGCCTTGTGGGTGAATGTGTACTAAGAAAAAAAAACAGATTATCAACCACATTAATGAGGGAGACAGCCTTGATCTGCCACAAGATAGCCTATGTGAACTCTTTATTGACCATGAAGGAGACTATTTCAGCAGAATTTAGGGTTTTAAGAAGTGTGGGTGTTGATTTTAGAGCTCCAGGGCAAAAATGATTCCACTTTAAGCAAGTGATACCTATTCAACCTAGACTTCACCTGACCGAAGCTTTTCAGGAATGTACTGCTCTGAGAAAGTGGGATTTTAAAAAAAGAACAACTAGTTATTGTAAATGACCATAACGTATGGGATAGGTTGCCTTGTGTTTTGTTTTGTGGTACCAGGGATCAAACCTAAGGCACAGCACAGTAGGCTAGGCAAGCACTCTACCACTGAGCTACAACTCCAGCCCAGTAAGTATTATATTTAAATGCAAACCATTTTGTTAGAATAAATATTACTCGCTAAAATTCACCATCAGTAGAGTCTGAGAAGGCAGTTATTCGGATGTCATACTGGGATCATTCTAAATGAGTGAGAGCAGGAGAGAGTGCAGAAGATAAGCTGAACAAGGCTGTAGCTTCGGCAGGAGACTCAATTCATCCCTGTTCTCAGGGAAGCTCTGGAGGAAAAACTGCCTCAAAGTTGGTCTGACCTCAAGATCAGGGGCCTCTTGTGCCAGTCAGCCAAGAGTGTCAGATAAACGGGGCAGCTCATAGCCTCCAGGGCAAAGTGGCTCCAAAGTAGCTAAGGCCCTTTTTGGGAGAAGAGGGAAACTGAGTTTTATCCATCAACGATACAGTTGAGGGGTGGACGCTCAGGTAAAGTACCAGCACATTGCTCAGATCCACCTGCTTCTTAAGCAATTCATTCTAACCTTAAGACAGTTTCCCCAAGTTTTTAACTGGACTCACAAATTCTGCGAAGGAGGTAAGCACAAAAGGAAAACCAGAGCCCTCTCTCTGTAATTGAGTCCTCTTGGAAACTGAAACACATCTCCCTTTTCTACCATCACCTTCTGGCCAGCACTTCTGCTGGTCTGCATGGTTTGCATGGTGGGTGCAAGATCTAAGAATGTGGATCACCCAAGTACTGAGACAGAAGAGAAGTGCCAGACAGGGAGGGAGGTGTGGTTTGGTCCACAGCTGTATCCCCAGCACCTGCCTCCCTGATGTTTTGTTGAACTGTCACCATGACAGCCACATCTGTCCTAGTGGCTATAGCTACTTTGACTGTCACAGGCCTGCACCTGAACCAAACAGCCAGCCCAAATTTGAACCAAGCAGAAGCCTATACTTGGACCAATTACAGGCCTACAGCTGCTATATAAGCACCACCCTCACACTTCTCAGGTTAGTCTGAAAGGACCCCTTCTGACAATGTAGCGACTCCTCTGTGACGCTGCACAGGTCCTATTAAAATCTGCTCGTGCTTTATCTTAGGTAGGTGACTTAGGAAGTCCCAAATGCATTCCTCCCAGTGTCTATTACACAGCAAAATCCTTTCTGCCTAATAACGGTCAGGGACAATTATCCCTTTTCAGAACACTAATTCTTCACTTCACTTGCCAGTTTACTAGCACCTAGAGAATTGAGGAAGCACCCATGGCTTTATGTTTTGTGAAACTTAACTGTGTCACTTAATGGAAAGCCTCTACCCAACCAACGCCTCCATTCACAGAACATACAGCTGCAGGCAGGAAACAAATTTCCCAAGTGTGTCACTAAGCAAGGCACTCAGCCACTCCTGGACGTGGGACACAGAACTATATATTGCCAGTTGAGATGTATGCCACATCCTGAAGGGCCCCCATCCCAGTAGGGCTTCACCTCCAAACTGACAGCTTGGCTGGATCTGTAAGAGGGCCTTATTGCTCTTTTGGAGCAGTAACTTCTGGATCATGTAGTATTTAGAGGGAGCAATAGCCATCTGCCACCATTGCGCTTCTAGGCTGTAAAGGTGTGAGGTGATGTTTTGCAGGATCCTATATCAATGGAACAAAATCAGGCGGCCCTGGAGACAGTCATGCTGATAAGGCACTACAGGCAGAAAAGGCAAGCCCACAGCCGGAATACACTAATACATTGTTTTCACTCAAAGCATGAAGCATGCTTTCTGGGATGGGATAAACCAATGTAATCAATCTGCCACCAGATAGCTCATTGGTTTCTTCAAAAGATACTAGACATCAGGGTTCAGTGCTGATCCCTACTAAACATCCAGCGGCATTAGCCTTGGGGCCCAGATACAGTCTCCAACTCCTGTCGTCATAAACACCCTTGCTCCTCAGCCGAGTGAGCAATGGGGTGGCCACACACAGGCTGGCTGGCATCTACTAGTCAGCACCACCTGCCTACTTTTCCTCAGTGCCTCTTTTGCAGTGATGTACTCCAATGACTGCTAATCTACAAAATGATGATTCTCTGCACTTACGTCCACTCCCATGTTCATCTTCATGTCTCTCCTGAAGACTTTCTGTTTCTTTTTCAATTAACATAATAATTGTATATGTTTATGGTCATAAAGACACTTATACCTGATCACTTTGAATTTGCTCCTCTCAGACTAAGCCTATAAATCTATAAATCCCCTAATGTCAGGCCACTTCTACACAATGTATGCAGCCTCTTGTGTTGCCTGAAACTCTACCCATTGAATCTCCCCTTGCCAACCGCCATCTTTCAGTGTTATCCCACAGTGGGCAGCTGTCCATTTTTGGCAGCCATGTACCTAGCTAACCCAAACCAGTAAACTTTTAGTTTTACCAATGTGGCAGGCTCCAAAACATTTCTAGGGCTTACCTTCCACCCTCTAGAGTGTATGCATCCTATCAAGATATCCAGAGTGCTCATCTCCCCCAGGCTCAGTTCACATGTCGATATAGTGGATTAAAATAATGTTCTGTGGGCAGGTAGGATGATCCAGTTAACTTCAGAGTACCTACTTCAAAGTAGGAAAAGGTATATAGCCTTGGGCAAAAGCAAGGATCTGTACAGTGGTCCTATGTGAATACAACTACAGATCTTCCTGACAGGTATGGAAAAGGGTTCATTTTTCAAGCAACGATTGTATACTGTGTTTCCAGTTTCCAGCTGCTGAGTTTGGTGATGTGCTGAATTTGATTTGCCAGTATGTTGTTGAGAATTTTCACATTTATATTCATAAGGGATATTGACCTATAGTTTCTTGTAGTATCTTTAACTGGAGCTGGTATCAAAATAATGCTGATCTCATAGAGTTAAGAAATATTTCCTCTTGTGTTTTTTGCAAGAGTTTTAGGATTGGTATCAATTTTGTAAATGTTTGACAGATTTCACAAATGATGCCATCTGGTCTAGGCTCTTCTTTTGGGGATGTGTTTGATTATTGATTCAATCTGGTCTAGAAAATCTATTACGGTTTTCTATCTATGCTTGAGTCAGTTATGGCACCTTGTGTATTCTAGGAAATTGACCATCTCACCTAGGTTATCTCAATTGTTGGCATGCAATTGTTTATAATATTCTTATAGTCCTCTTTGCTTCTATAAAATTAGTAATAATATCTTTGTTCTCATTTTTTATTTTGGTAATTTGAGTCTTCATCCTTTTATTCTTAGTCTAGCTAAAGGTTTGTTACTTTGGTTGCTCTTTTCAAAGAACCTACTTCTGATTTTGGTAGCTATCATTTTTCTAGTTTCTATATTGTTCAACTCCACTTTAATCATTATTTCCTTTCTTACCCTAGCTTTAGGTTTAGTTTAGTTTTTTTTTTTTTCTAGATCTTTCATTTCAGGCATACAGTTCATACAATTAGATTATGGATTTCAGATTTTTTTAATATAAGCATTTACAGTTATAAATTTCCTTCCCAGTGTTCTGCTTTGCTGCATCCCATAGTTTAATATGTTGTATTTCTGTCTTTGTTCACTTCAAGGCATTGTGTAATTTCTCCTGTGATTTATTCTTTAATCCACTGGGGGTCTTTTTGTTTTGTTTTGTTTTGTTTTTGTACTAGGGATCAAACTTGGGACCTTGTACTTGCCAGGCAGGTTGGGCAGCACCACTGAGCTAAATCCCTGGCCCCTACTGATTGTTAAGAATGCACTGGCTAGTCAGGTGTAGTGTTGCATGTCTATAATCCCAGCTACTTGAGAGGCTGAGGCAGGATGATCACAAGTTTGAGGGCAGCTGGACAATATAGTGAAACCCTGTCTCAAAATTTTAAAAGAGGGAAAGAGCTAAGGATATAGCTCAGTGACAAAACTCCTCCTGGGTTTGATCCCCAGTGCCACCAAAAAAAAAAAAAAAAAAAAACCGCAT